TAGTAGTAGTAGTAGTAGTAGTAGTCGTATTAGTAGTAGTAGTAGTCGTAGTCGTAGTTAGTAGTATAGTAGTAGGAGGAGGAGGAGGAGGAGGAGGAGGAGGAGGAGTAGGAGTAGTAGGAGCAGTGGTAGTAGTAGTAGTAGTAGTAGTAGTAGTAGTAGTCGTAGTAGTAGTAGTAGTAGTAGTAGTCGTAGCAGTAGTAGTGGTAGTAGTAGTAGTAGTAGTATTAGTAGCAGTACTCGTAGTAGTAGCAGTAGTAGTAGTAGTAGTAGTAGTAGGAGTAGGAGTAGTGGTCGTAGTAGTAGCAGTAGAAGTAGTAATATCGCTTGTAGTAGTATCAGTAGTAGTAGCAGTACTAGTAGTCTTAGTAGTAGTAGTAGTAGTAGTAGTCGTGATAGTAGTAGTAGTAGCAGGAGGTGGGGGAGTAGTAGTAGTAGTAGTAGTAGTATTAGGAGTCGTAGTAGTAGTAGTTAGTAGTTAGTATGTATATTAGTCGCGTAGTAGTAAGTAGTGGTAGTAGTAATAGTAAGGTTGTAGTTTTAGTATTAGTAGTAGCAGTGGTAGTAGTAGTCGTAGTTAGTAGTAGGAGAGTAGTAGTAGTAGTAGTAGTTGTAGTAGTAGTCGTCGTCGTAGTAGTAGTGTAGTAGTAGTAGTCGTAGTAGTAGTAGTAGTAGTAGTCGTCGTTAGTCGTGTAGTAGTAGTAGTAGTAGTAGTAGTGTAGCAGTAATCGTAGTATTAGTAGTAGTAGTAGTAGTCGTCGTAGCAGTAGTAGTAGTAGTAGTAGTAGTAGGAGTAGTGGTCGTAGTAGTAGTAGTAGTAGTAGTAGTAGTAGTAGTCGCAGTAGTAGTAGTACCATTGTTTGTAGTAGTATCAGTAGTAGTAGCAGCAGTAGTAGTCCTAGTAGTAGTAGTAGTAGTAGTAGTAGTAGTAGTAGTAGTAGTAGTAGTAGTAGTAGTAGTAGTAGTAGTAGTTAGTAGTAGTAGTAGTAGTAGTAGTAGAGTAGTAGTAGTAGTAGTAGAAGTAGTCGTAGTAGTAGTAGTAGTAGTAGTAGTAGTAGTAGTAGTAAGTAGGAGTAGTAGGAGTAGTAGTAGTGGTAGTCGTTAGTAGTAGTAGTAGTAGTAGTAAGTAGTAGTAGTAGTAGTAGTCGTAGTAGTAGTAGTAGTAGTAGTAGTAGTAGTAGTAGCAGTAGTAGCAGTAGCAGTAGCAGTAGTAGCAGTAGTAGTAGTAGTAGTAGTAGTAGTAGTAGTAGTAGCAGCAGTAGCAGAAATAGCCGCGCATTTGTATACCAGTGCTTGTCCATCTGTATGTTAGCCCCAGCAGCATGGCATTTGCTCAAAGCATTCCCAGACGCCGCCGGCTGGAATCGTGACGTTGCCGGGGGGGGAGGGGGGGCGCCGCTGGTAACGCGCGCTATCGCGAAACATGAAAAATTGTCTCTTGTGCCGCTGCTTGCTGCTCCTCCTGCTCCTCCTCCTCCTCCTCCTCCTCCTCCTCCTCCTCCTCCTCCTCCTCCTCCCCCTCCCCCTCCCGCTCCCCCCGACGAGCTTTGGCTTTACGGGGCCCCAGAGGAGCTCGGAGGTGATTGCTTGACCGACGGCGGTTTGCTGGACGGCGAGTTGCCCCCCGCTGCTCGCTCGCTCGGCTGGGCGATCGCCTCGTTGCATGGCGACCCCTCGCTTCCTGCAGGGCGCGGGAGACGCGCGGTTGCCGCGAGCGGCCTCCCAGCGGTCCATGATGACATCGATGCGCGTGAGCTCTCTGGGCGCTTCTGATGGGCATCAAGCAGGCTCTTCCTGGGGTCCGCTTCTGTGAAATAATCCCCTCTCATACCCTTATATATACTCCTTGCTCGCCTGTTTGCTCGCCGTTTGGGCTCAGGTATTGGCTTAGATCAGGACGCTGATCGCACAGTAGGAAATGTTCCCTATCTGTCCCTCCTTCCTCTTCCTACGGATCAGGGGTTCCGTACCTTTGTACTCTAACCCCATACACAGCTTCTGGACCGACTCCAGTTTTCAGTCCCGCGGAGTTTGGGAACGTGGCAAAGCGTTTTGCTGCTCCGCTAAGTCTGCGCAGGCCGACACCTGGAAGCCAGCGCGGCGCGCCATCGAGGACAGAGGAGGCTTTGAGCAGTTGGGGCTCTCGAAGGTCAAGGCGCGCACCTCGCGCCCTGATCTCGCAGGTCGAAGCTCTGCTCGGGCCCAGAGCGGCAATCAGCTCGCCGATCAGTATGCCAAGCAAACCGCCGAGCACATCAGAGTCGCAGCCTCGTACAGAGAGCGCTTCCAGAGTCAGTTCAACGTTGTCTGTGCTCTCACGTGCTGGGTCGGCCGTGTGGACCGCACATGGCCGCTCCCGACCGTGAACATGTCCCACTCTCGAAACGCGCGCCGACGCCCCAGTCCGACGCGCCCGTGTTGCAAGTAATTCCTCCCCTTTTCCAGTGGCCGCCGTCGTTGAAAGTCGAGCCGACGTTGCGATCGCTGTCTGGAGGAGGGAGGGTGGCGCCACTCACAGGGCCTTTCCCTTTATTATCGGGGGGGGGATGCGGGTGGTGGTGGTGTGCGCTCATTGTTGTGCTGGCGGGGTGCTTGTATATAAGCAGTTTGGGGAGCCGTGTCCACCTGCGCCCTCGGATTGGAGCAATAGAGTTCTGCGAGGCTTTGAGCAGGGCAAGTGTAACCATGGCCAGGAGTGCTCTCACCGATTTCTGGCGCCATGGAGATTTGGAGAGAACCGGCCAGTGCGTGGACCCTAATCTCCCCCTGAGGGAGCACCCTGCCGCGGGCCCTTCGACTGGAGATCGCCCCCAGTCGGAGGTGGCAACAAGGTCGTCATGGTCGGCGCTCCCCGCGGTAGTTTGCCTTGGTTGGGGCTCGCGTGGGTCTCATGGGCGCCTACTGCGTGCGCAGGAGAAGCACGAGGAGGAGGAGAATGAGGAGGAGGAGGAGGAGGACGAGGACGAGGAGGAGGACGAGGAGGAGGAGGAGGCGGAGGAAGAGAAGGCGGGGGAGGAGGTGGTGGAGGCGGAGGAGGATGAGGAGAGAGGGGACGGATAGGGATGCTCAGGAGGAGGAGGAGGAGGAGGGGGGGGTTAGGAGGAGGAGGAGGAGGAGGAGCGGGGAAGGAGGAGCGGGGAAGGAGGAGCGGGGAAGGAGGAGAAGGAGGAGGAGGAGGAGGGGGGAGGAGAGAGAGGAGGGGGAAGAGTAGGACGAGGATGAGGAGGACGAGGGCGAGGACGAGCAGGAAGAGGAGGAGGAGGGGGATGATGATGATGATGATGATGATGATGATGATGATGATGATGATGCTGATGATGATGATGATGATGATGATGATGATGATGTGATGATGATGATGATGATGATGATGACGATGACGATGACGATGACGATGACGATGACGATGATGATGATGATGATGATGATGATGATGATGATGATGATGACGATGATGAGGATGATGAGGATGATGATGATAGTGATGATGATGATGCTGATGCTGATGCTGATGATGTGATGTGATGATGATGATGATGATTGCTGCTGCTGCTGCTGATGATGATGTGATGATGATGATGATGAGGAGGAGGAGGAGGAGGAGGAGGAGGAGAGGAGGAGGAGGAGGAGGAGGGAGGGGGATAAGACGACTGTTGAGGACGAGGAGGAGAGGGAGAAGGAGGAGGAGGAGGAGGAGGAGGAGGAGGATGAAGTGGGGCGGCGACGAGGAGGAGGAGGAAGAGAAGGCTGAGGAGAAGGAGGAGGAGGAGGAGGAAGAGGAAGAGAAAGAGGAGGAGGAGGAGGAGAAGGAGGAGGAGGAGGAGGAGGAGGAGGAGGTGAAGGAAGAGAAGGAGGAGGAGGACGATGACGACGACGACGAGGACAAGGAGGAGGAGGAGACCAGTGCAAACCCAAGAGTCACCAACGATGCTGGAAGAACTCTCCCCCCAAGCTCCCCCCAAGCTCCAGGCCCCTACAACGGTTCATTTTCACAGAGGGGCCTGCCTCGTTGGAAGACAATTCCGAAGACCATGAAGCATGCCAAAACGTTGTTATCGGGATTCAGCGCCACGGATAAACTTGACTGTTGCGTCTTGACGATCCCGAATCGCGCCAGAACGCCATTCTTGGGACTTCAACACCGCGAATCGTCGCAACTGTTGCGCCAACATAATCGTGAATCCTTACACAACACCGCTTCTGGTACGTCGATCATGGGAATCCGCGAAACTCTTGCAATTTGTTGAAACGAATGTACGCGGCGCTACGGCGAGAGCCACATTTCGAAAACCACTCGCCCTCAATCCGTGAAACTCTTGCAACTTTTGAAAACGAACGCACGCGGCTCTAAGGCGAGAGCCACATTTTGAAAACCACCCGCCCTCAATCCGTGAAGCTCTTGCAACTTGCGAAAATGAATGTGCGCGGCGCTAAGGCGAGAGCCACATTTTGAAAACCACCCACCCTCAATCCGTGGAACTCTTGCAAATGTTTACAATGAATGTGCGCGGCGCTAAGGCGAGAGCCACTTTTTGAAAGCGGCCCGCCCTCCATCTGTGAAGCCCCTGCCAATGTTTAAGCTTCAGGGTCATAAATGGTGAGGAAGTCTCAGGCGAAACGCCCGGCCCGCCCTAAAACTGGCCTCGGGGTGCGACAGGGAGGAGATATTCATAAGGACAAGGAATGGAAGAGGAGGAGGAGAAGGACGATGAGGAGGAGGAGGAGGAGGAGGAGGCTGAGGAGGAGGAGGAGGAGGAAAAGGGGGGAGGAGGAGGAGGAGGAGGAGGAAGGAGGAGGGAGGAGGAGAGAGGAGGAGGAGGAGGAGGAGGAGGAGGAGGAGGAGGAGGTGAGGAGGAGGAGGAGGAGGAAAAGGAGGAGGAGAAGGACGACGACGACGAGGGAGGGAGGGAGGGAGGGAGGGAGGGAAGGAAGGAGGGAGGGAGGGAGGGGGGGAGGAGGGGGGAGGAGGGGGAGGCCGGGGCTCCGCAGCGGGAGCGGAGGGCCATTGTCGACGCGACCAGCGGCGCGCTCCTGGGCCCCCTCCTGGTGCTGGAGATCCAGTGGGGCGGCGCCTGAGCGTGGTGTCCTCGGGCCACCGAAGGCGCCAGGACGAGGAGGAGGGGGGGCCACTGCAGCCCGCCCCCTTCCCTCCTCTTCATGTCACTGGCGTGGCAGCGCACTGCGACGCCACGCGAGCCCCAACAGAACCGACCCGTCGCGGCCAACGCGCCGCGAAGGTCCGAGGTGCGCGGAGCCGGCTGCCGGCACGCGCGCCTCACACCTCGGAGGCGGATGGAGAATCCCTTCAGGCACGACTCACTCCTCCTCCTCCTCCTCCTCCTCCTTATCCCTTCCCCTCCTTCTCCGTCCATTCCCCCTCCTTCCCCCCCTCCTTCTCCTTTCCTGAATCCTCTTCCATCCGCCCGTTCCTCCCACGCGAGCGGGTGCGCGCGTGGGGTGGGCAGGAGGAGGAGGAGGTGCAAAAGGCAGATGCAAAGGAGAGGGAGGAGAGCGAGGAAAGTGAGCAGGAGTCGTGAGCAGGAGGAGGCAGATGAGGAGGAGGAGGTGGAGGAGGAGGAGGAGGAGGAGGAGGAGGAGGAGGAGGAGGAGGGGGAGGGGGAGGAGGAAGAGAAGGAGGAGGAAGAGGAGGAAGAGGAAGAGGAGGAGGAGGAGAAGGAAGAGGAGGAGGAGGAAGAGTAAGAGTAAGAGTCCCAGGAAATTGTCCTAAACGAAACCTCTCGCCTCCCCGAGTTCAGTGGACGATGACCGCGGAGACCTGAAGCGACGACGCCTGCGGGAAACAACAACCTCGAACTATATTTCACCACATTACAACAAGTCCCTGGACACGGTCAGGGCAGAGGGATGCCCGACACTGGATTATCCAGGCGGCGCCAGCTAGCTCCGCGCGCGCGCGCCTGGGCTGCTGGGCCATTTCGGCGATACCGCGGAACAGGAGGAGGAGGAGGAGGAGGAGGAGGAGGAGGAGGAGGAGGAGGAGGAGGAGGAGGTAAAAATGTAAAGGTACAGGCGCTTGGGGGGCAGGTCCAAGTCAATACCGAGACTCGCTGAGGCCTCTGTGGGGTTCTATGGATGCAGGGCCGTGTGCCTCAGAGATGCACTCGGTGTAGGCGCTAGGTCAGGTGCCGGGATCCCTGTTGGCAGTACTAGCGGTTCCGGAGCACATTGGTTTGGCGCAGGTAGAGAGCGTACCCACCCGTCTGCAGCAGGGGGGGTCATGATCATGCGTATGGAGGGGCTCGTTCCTGGAGGCTTCCTTGCGTGCACCCTCTAACTTGCACGCGTCCATCGGCCTTGCCCCTGCCAGCTGGGGCCGTCTCTGCCGGTTGGGAGCGCAGCTGGAGATCTTGGTATGCCGGTTAGGAGCTTGGTATGTCGCCATCGACAAGCCACCTTCAACGAGGCTTCCTGGCGAATGCGAATGTAACGACCGCCCCAGGACCCTTTTGCCTCCGCCAACGTTGACGAAGTCCCATGGCCGCGAAGCGGCTAGTAGGGGCCGGGAAGTTTCCGATGCCACATTTGGACATCAGACGACGTGTTATGTGTTCAGCCCGCGGGGCACAGAGGTCTCGACCCTCCCCCCCGGGGGCATTTTCCGTCCCGTATCCATGTTTGAGCTCATCAGGAGGGGAAAAAACACACAGACACAATTAATCGTCGATTCCCAGGAAAAGACGGGAACATATGGGAAGTGGGGGGGAAGACAAAGACCCAGAAAATTTGGGAAAAGATGGGGAATCTCTTGACTTGTGTGTGTGTGTATTTATTTGTGTGTCCTGGGGCCCCTTCAGCTCATCGGGGCCCCAGAACGGCTCCCGGATGCCGATCTACCGAGGAGACAGGTGCCCGTCGGACGATGTCTTATGCGCTGCGCCCGCGGTGCCCCGAGATCTCGACCATATTTCCTGGGGGGGGGGGGCTTTCCGTTCCGCAGCCGTGTCTGAAAGGTGCAGGGCCCCCAAACACGGCCCTTGGATGCAGACATCGAGGACGCAGACGCCCGTGAGCATGAGTGGGATCCATCACGTCTTGCTCATTTCCTGGGGGGGGGGCTTTCCGTCCCGTAGCCGTGTCTGAAAGGCTCAGGGCCCCCAACACACAGCCCTTGGATGCAGACATCGAGGAAGCAGACGCCCGTGAGCATGAGTGGGATCCATCACGTCTTGCTCATTTCCTGGGGGGGGGACTTTCCGTTCAGGGCCGTATCCGTGTTTGAAGGGATCAGGGCCCCCAAACACGGCCCTTGGATGCAGACATCGAGGAAGCAGACGCCTGTGAGCATGAGTGGGATCCATCACGTCTTGCTGCCTCGGCCCAACGCCTGGAGTGTATCGCGGGTGCGTTTCGTGTGTGTGTGTGTGTGTGTGTTTTTGTTGGTGTGTTGGTGTGCGTACACGTGCTCGCACATGTGCACATGCATAGATCTATATGTGCACAACCGTATCGTACACATATAGTATGCATCCACATGTACTCTTATACATATCAGCATGTTGACTTATGAACCTATGTAAATGCCTATATACAAACTTCGTGACGAAGCACAATAGATCGATTCAGCAGCCCCCCCCCGCCCCCGTCCAAAGCTTGCCATTGGCGGGGGCGCTATCGCTCTGGGGGCTTCGGCGCAACATGGGACGGGGGAGGGGGTTCGCGCCGTTGCGAGAAGATGACCCCATGACCACGCAGTCTCATGAAGACTCCGAAGCGTTCCCTGAAACCCATGGCCACCCTGGTAAAATTTCTCTTCAGGATGGTGGCACCCCTGGAAACTGCCCGACAGCCTGAAAGGTGCAATACCGATACCCCACTTGCCGGACCTCTCCTTGGGTGCGTCCTTACCAGATTTTCAAGGAGAGTCCAGAATAAGAGGAGGACGAGGAGGGAAAGAGTCGGAGGAGGAGGCGGAGGGGGAGGAGACAAAAAACGAAGGAGGAGAAGGACGAGGAGGGGGAAGAGAAGGGGACGTTCGGCAGGAGGAGTCTAAAGGCACCTCGCTGAAGACGTCCTCATTAGCTGACCTGAAACAAAGGACTCTAGACAACCAAACAGGCAAAGCGCCTGAGACATCCCAACAATCTGGGCGCGAACGACCCAGGCACTACCCCCTGGTGGCCCCCCTTGGGGTGCTGAAAGCAGCGCCTCGCTCGAAGCATCCCCACAAGTTGACTATGAGGCGAGCCTGAGTGTGAGTGGTCTGTGTGGGTGAGTCTGAGTGTGGGTCAGCCTGAGTGTGAACGACTCTAAGTATGGATGCGTCTCAGCGTGAGTGTGCGTCAGTGTGTTCAAGCCCTGGCAACCTGCTCTGACAGCAGTGAAGTCTCGGGGAAGGGGCAAACACAGACAAACCGCCTGAGACATCCCCAAAAAGGAAAGCTGAGCAGGAGTGCGTATGAGTTCGAAAAGCTCTGTGTGAGTGGTTGTCAGTGTGAGTGAGTCTGAATGTGTGTATGTCCGAGTGTCAGTGAACATGAGTGTAGTGGAGTATGAGAGAGGATGCGTATGAGTCGCCGTGGTCGGTGCGTGGATCTGAGCGTCAGTGGAACTGAGCGTGGGCAAGTCTGAGGGTGAGTGAGTCGGAGTTCGAGGGATTCTCAGTGTGAGTCTGGAGATCATTGCGCGAGGGAGGCGGCCGAGCGAGTGAGTGGGGAGGAGGCGACCGAGCAACAACAAGAGCCCTTGCTTAGGATTTGTGGGCAACTCGCGACGTCGGAGTTCTGGCCCCCCTCCTCCCCCTCCTCCTCCTCCTCCTCCTCCTCCTCCTCCTCCTGGCGGATGGGAGTGTTCATGGGTTCAGCTGCATCTGGACTGTAGGGGCCTCGTGAGGCCCCGTCGGACCCTCTGAAGGCTTTTCGACCCCTCCTGTGCCACCTCTTCGAACCTCCTTGGGCCATCTTGGGGCTGCTCTCGGGCGCCCTTTTTGCATCCTGTTGGAGGCCCTCTTGGAACTCCGAGGCGGGAATTGATCCATGTCCACCGCTTGAAGGGTCAGTTTTCGGAGCCTCGGCAGGCGGTGGATATGGACATATTCGGGCCCCCGGGGGCCGAAATAGATCCATATCCACCGCCCGCTGGGGCACCAGGACGTTGGTTCCCAGGCGGTGGATATGGATACATCCCCGCCTCGCAGGAACCCTCTTGGGGCCGCTCCTGGACCCTCTTTGGGCCCATCTGCCGGTGCACTCCCACGCAATCTTGGGCCATTTGAAGCACTTTGGCTCCTCCTGAAACCAACTTGGGCCGCCACTTCGCGCCCCGATGGAGCCCTCTCTGAGGCTGTGGGGCTTTTCGGGGGGTCCGTGTTGACGCTCTTCTTGGGGCATATCGGGCCTCGTTGGAGCACTTGTTGGGGCCATTTTGGCGCCCCTTTTAGAGATCTTTCTGACCCTTTTCGGCCTTCCTCTGTGGCCTTCTCAGGGCAAGTCTTGGAGCCTTGTCGGGCCTTCGCTTGGGGGTCCTTACGGAGCCTCAGTGGGTTTTGCCGGGGCATTTCCTTGGGATCTCTTGAAACCACTAGGGGGCCACCTTCGAGGTCTATTAGGACGCCTCTTGAGACCCTCCTGTGCCGCGGCCGTTGGGTTCTTGGGACCATCTTCGATCCTCTCGTGAGGCTTCCTTGACCCCCCACTCGGTGTGCTCTTGGGATCTTCTTGGACTGCCCTTTGGAGTTCTTCTGCGCCCCCATTGGGGCGCTCGTTGGATCTTCGTACAGCGCCTTGGTTGGAATCGTCTCTACTCGGTCCACGTTATTCATTACTACTTCTGCTCCCCCTGTTCGAACCATTTGTGGGTAACTCCTGCGGTTGCATGTTTAAGTACGCATTTGCACGCAGCTGTGCGATTGTCCTGAGCTGGAGCATGCTAGAGCCGAAGCGCGCGCGAAGCGCACACGCACAAACACAAGCACGAACATAAGCACAAACACTGGCACCATCACAAACACACACACACAAATACAAACACAATGACAATCACTAACACCAACACAACCACACACACACCAACACGAACCCACACACATACAACCACACATACACATGCAAGCACACACACACACATACAATCACACACAAACATAAACACGAACACACTCGCAAACACAGACACGATCACACACAAACGCAAACACAATCACAAGCAAACATACAACCACAAACACAGTCACAGCCACAAGCACAACCACAAACACAAGCACAAACACAAACACAAACACGAACACTAACACAAACGCACACACGCAATCAAGACACAAGCACAAGCACGAACACAAACACCAGCGCAAACACAGACACAGACACAAGCACAACTACAACCACACGAACAAGCACAGACACAAACATACACACGCAAACACAACTACTAACACATGCACAAACACAGGCACAAAGACAAACAAGCACACACACACAAACACACACACACACACTTGCACTTGTTTGTCGTGGCCCTGCGCGCAGCGACAGGGCGTAGAAGGTCGAAGAGCAGCAACCGCGCGCGCGTGCAACCACACATACACACACAAACACACACATAGATATAGAGAGAATGGCCTTCGGCCCCTCCCGCCACCGTGCCTGGGTTGTGGGCCACAGGTCTTTAGGACGTTCATTGGAATGTCGCGGGAGGCCTCTCGGGGGCCTCTTGGGGGCTGGTTTGAATCCTCTTGGGGGCCGTTTTGGGATCAGAAGAGGAGGGGGCGTTGAGAAGGAGGACGATCAGGAGGAGGGGTGGAAAACGAAAGGTTGAATTGTCGGCCGCGTGGGGTGCAGGTTATGTGCTCCGCTTCCTCATCTCGTCGCTCTCCCAGCGTGCCCAGCAAGCACGCGGGTCTTTGTACAAAGAAATCGTTCCATGTTTTTTACGCAGCCCCGCGGGCACTGCGCTCTGACGGTCCCTCCATTGGTGCGATCAAGACAGGACGAGTAAACCAGTGGAGACCCAGCGTGGGATCTCCAATGGGTAGGAACAACAGGCTCTGGAGCGCGAGACACCGTTGGTGCGCGAGCGGAGTAAAAACGCACCGTCTATAGTTCATGCCGCTTGGTGCATGTTGTAAATGAGCCATGCTTACGCTATTGAAGCTTCGACCCCTGAGCTGTGCCAGTCGGTATTACTTAGGACCTCCTCCTTGTTGCATTCGCGTTGTCTTGCGTCCTCGCTGACTCTGCTCCTGTAGGTTCCTCGCGCCATTTAATGGCTTGAATCCTTGAGTTTCCGCATATGTCTTGCATTATTCGTATTTCAGTTCCAGATACCTCCGAGATGGGTTCCAGAGGCTTCCCAGAGGTTCCTACCACCCGTGCATTCATTTACCCCAAATGTTGCAGGGGGGCCAGCCACTCGCAAGGCAGTGCGTATCTGTTGTTGTTGCTTGTTCGGTTGAGCGGCTACCAGTGCTGATTGTTCTTGGCCGCGGGCCCCCAGTGTCCGAGATAACGAACACTACTGCTACATCGCAGAATTGTCGCATCCCGTTCGCTACATTCAAGCACGGCTCGATCAAATCAATCCGAATGTCTTGATTCGGTGGTGCCGGGCCACGGGTCTGGTTTAGTACACGCTCTCCGCTTCGATCTGGGGTAATAAGCTTGGCCTCCACAAGGGTGTGTGTCCCCATGCAGCTGTAAGCCATGTGTGCTTTGCATGTGTGCGCGATCCCAGTGCAAGTAGTAATGAGCAGCGCGTGAGGGACAGACATAGCTACGATGCAAAAGTCAGGTCGGACACAACAAACCATGGTGTTACTTGGGTGGAGCGAGCAAGCGGTCATATTTGGTGTTCGGCAAGTGTGTTGCCGGGCTTTGTCGCGCCGCGCCGTGTATTGGTGATGGAAAAGGTTCGGAGTAGCTCGGCATGCATTTGTGATTGGAGCGTGCCGGATGCCCAAAACTGCACCGGTGTTTCCACCTCTCGGATTTACTCCTTCTGTTCTGGCGGTCGCGGCCCAGGTGCAGGATCAGCCCACGTAGAACACATTGTTCGGACGAAGAACCCAACCCGATGCAACTGCAATCCGGGCCGCGCAGGACTTTTCTGCGACCCACGAAGCGTACGAGCGGTGCGCCGCAGTGGGCGAGGCGACGCCACGCGAATTCTGCCACTGGGGCCTTCGGTGGAGCTCCTTGTTGGGTCACATAGCGTGCGAGGAGAGTGCCGAAATGGGCGGGACGACGCCATGAGTTTTTTGTTATGTGTGTCCTTCGGTGGAGCTCCCTATGGTGACACAACGTATGACAGGTGCGCCGAAATGAGCGGGGCGGGCCTTCGGTGGAGCTCCCTGTGGGCCCACGAAACGTATGAGGGATGTGCTGACATGGATGGGGCGAATCCTGGAGAACTTTGCCACGGGGGCCTTCGGTGGCGCTCTCCGTGGGGCCACGAAGCGTGTGAGGGGCGTACCGCAAGTGACCCATGCGGATGGCAGAGGCGATGAAGGGGAGGGTGGAGGCGGGAGGAGGAGGAGGGAAAGACGTGGGGCGCTGCTGGTTCAAAGCGAAGACCTAACACAGCAGGAGGGCTGGGATAAATAACCAGTACACGTAGAGCGGGCACCCCACCGCTTCGCTTTCAAGAATATCTGGCGCGTTTATGTATCCTTGTTCGTGCCGCTGTCCGCACCAATTAATGAAACAGATCGGCCAAACTAACCCAATATGCAGCCGTTGCTGTCCGCGGAGATCTTCTGAGTCCCACACAGCCTGAGCGGCAGCTGCGTCTGGAGGATTCGCATGTCGTGCTCGGAATCTTGTCGTTGTATGACTCCCTCGTCAGATTTCGTTATTCACAACGAGCCACGGAACCTTGCCAATTGCGATGTGTCGCGGCCGACGGCGAGTGCATACACCGTGTCTAGCAGCAGTGTCCAGGGGAGGTGGCTCAGGCGCAGAAGTGCGCAATAGTGCGAGAGAGCAGCCTACTGGAATGTAAAGAAGGGAGCTTATGCAGTTGTAGTAGCGTCGCCCTCTTCTCAGCAAGTTACGCCGCATAGAGCTTCAATGACTTGCATGTGATCGAACATCCTCACTGGTACACCTAAGATATGCTTACATGTCTGGTAGCGGTGCGTTCGGATTTTACGAAATATCCGCAGGACAACCCGATGCGGGATTTTTCCACCTGGTTGTATGTGCATCGATGCGGCGCGCGTCCTGGAACACAGTCTGCAAGTCGACAGGGTAGCTGACGACTTACATTATATCCAAGAGCACGATGATGCCTGGTCCGCGGCAGCCAACGCTGGATTTCAGCCACGACCCGATGGGACGCCAGGCCAAGTAGCCTTGATATCAATTAGTTGCCTTGAAGTCCTCCGTCTCTTGGGAGACTGCGATGGGATGACGTTCTGGAATCGTCAAACCGCTGGAATCGGGATGGCTCCCCGCATCATTGCCCGAAATCGTACCAAACAGTGCATCTGATTGTCCGTGGCGCAAATCAAATCAGATTCGCGCTCGTCCCGCCAGGTCGGAGATCTACATAGTAGAGGAACTGTAAGCTCACCAGCGCGTGTTCCAAGTCCGTCCACGACCATCCCCCGCACGATGGGTGTCGACAGACCAGGCAGGTTCGATTGGCGTTGGCAGCAGCACGGCCTCGAGGCGGTCGAGCCCGAGCGTCGGCCGTGGTGGAGTTCCCCTGGGGCGGCGGCACGCTCCCGCGAGCAGGAGGGCGAACAGCAGCGGGTGCGTGCCTCGGCTATGGAGGGAGGAGGAGGAGGAGGAGGAGGAGGAGGAGGAGGAGGAGGAGGAGGAGGAGGAGGCCCTTGGGGCGATAAATTCTAGAGGCGCCCGCGTTGGCCGAGGCAGCCAGGTCTGGGGAGGGGCTGCCCTTCCGCCTCGGCCTCGAGCCTCCTGGAGTCAGGACGGGGAGGGAAGCTCCCGTTTTGAGCCAAACTGGACACGAAGGAAGAGGAGGTGGAGGAGGAGGAGGAGGAGCAGGTGGAGAAGGAGGAGGAGGAGGAGGAGGAGAAGGAGGAGGAAGACGAGGAGGGGGAGGACCGAGATAGCTCAAATGATTTCCAGATCTGCCAATGGGCAGACCGGGTCGCGCTGTGTGCATGGCAGATCAGCGTACTCACTCGAAACAGCGTCCAGGCCGCACACATGTCCCGATAGAGCGAGGCAAGGTGTGCAAGAAATGTCTCAGATGTCGTGCGGTATCAGGCGACGGTTCGGCATGGGGGTATTGTGACAGGGTCGACACTCCATGGCCATGCTAAACAACGACAAACGACAGTTCCTGCATCAACACACGGCACACTTAGAAAGTGCCAAATTTTCACGGATGCGGGGCCCTCATTCCAGATCGTAGCGTGTTGTTACGGCGAACACATAGCCAGTGCCAGCCAGAGGCACACGATGTTTTGATCTCGCCGTTCCGTCCTCAATGTTGCGAGGGGCATACCGTTCTTCTGCGACATCATGGTGGGCAGGTTGGGATTCGGTTTCGCTCAGAGGTTTCGGTGCAGTTTCTATTGTTTCCAGGTTCCTGTTTCACCGCGGGACGTTTCGGCTTCGGGGTAATAGGTTTCAGCTTCGCGGCAATATGTTTCAGCTTCGTTGTCATAGATTTGCGTCACGCGGTGGTTATTTGTTGGATGGGTTGTATCGTAGTTTTGTTTTGTATATGTTGTTTTCGTCTTGCTCTGTCTCGTGTTCGTCCTCCCCCTGGTCCTCCTCTTCATTCGTTTTTTTCGTATTCCTCTCGTTCGTTTTCCGCGTTTTCTCATCGCTGTATTGCCGTCCTCGTCTACGTCGCTCGTCCTCCTTATCGGCTTCGTCGTGACCTGCTCCGCGGTGGCCTTCTGTGTAAACGTCGCGTGCGATTTCAGAGGTGGGTAGGGCAAACTAGAACCTAGGCGCGCGTGCATCAGAGCCATTTGTGTAATCGAGCTTCTGTCGCGGGTAGCTCCCAAGCTCTCCCCGAGTTCGTGCGTGCAGAGTGTTTCCTCGCCAACGATTTGAACAAGTACTTGCGGGAGAGCCCCATGAGGAGTGCAGGGAGGGGGCGGCATGAGCCAACGCTTTTATGGCACGGCCTTTCCCAGCGCGCATCTCGGCCAAGCGCCGACGCAGAGGCCACGCGCGGCTGAACACCCCATTTCCGCTGGGCCAAGTTCCCGGTGTGATTTTCAAGCTTTGATGTTACATTTAGTGGCCTACGCCCCATCCCGCCACCGCGCCTGGGTTGTGGGCTAGATAGAGGCCTCTTGGATGTTCCTTTGGATATCGTGGGAGGCCTCTCGGGGTCCTTTTGGCGACATTTATCAGGGCTCTTGGGGGCCGTTTGGGGGCCGCTTAAGACTTCATTTTGGGTCTTTTGGGGAGCTTTTTGGGGCTTCCTGGGGGCCTCCTGGAATCCTCTTGGGGAGGGCGGTTCGAATCGTCGGTTCGTGTTCCCCCTCTTGGGCCCCTCTCGGGGCAGTCGTTGGGCCTTCTTGGGCGATCTTGGGCGCTTCTTGGGCCGTGTTGAGGTTCTCTCGGACCGTCTTGGGGCCTTCTTGAGGGCCTCTTGGGCTGACTTGGGGCGGTCTTTTGGGCCTCTGGGGCCACCTTGAAGCGTCAGAAGCCCGAATACGAGAGAACGCGAAAAACAGCAAAGACCATTAGGATAATCAATGATGTTTGCTTATTTGGGATCTCTTGGGTTATTTGGGGCCGTTTGTTCGGTCTTGCGGCCATATTGGCCGTTTTCGAGCGCTCTTGGGCTGTCTTGGAGGCCTCTTGGACATTCTTGGGTGGTTTCTGGACCCTCCGGCAAGTCTTAGGGCCCTCTGGCCCCTGGAAAGAAAACACGCGAGGCAGCCCAGGAACGCGCGGGAACGCCCAGGAAGTTTTCGAATTTGGGGGCCCCAGCCTATAAATTGTTAAAATCCCAGAATCTTGAGCA